CCGACCGTCAAGATTTGGGATGGTTTCCGGTGGAATTTTTTGATGAAATTTTTTGAGCATCTTATTCATTGAGTCTAGTTTTCTCATACCAAATTTTATCTAACAATTCAATCGAGAAGACATTCAAATGAATTCTTGAAGATAACTGCGTTTTTAACTGCACAATTATCTTCAAGAATTCATGTGAATGTCTTCGCGATGGAAGTTTTAGCTGAAATTTGGTATGCATAAACTAGACTGAATGAATAAGATGCTAAAAAATATTCATCAGATAATTCCTTTGGGAACCGCCCCAAATGAGGACAACAAGACAGAGCCTCCTAAATAAGGACTTATTTGACCTTTTTTTGTTAGGCCGTGGACTTATTTGCCCATTTTCCCTTTATATTAAATACGGAAAGTAAACAATATATAAAGTCATAAAACAACTATACGGAGTACTAAACTAGCAAAGGGGCGACTACTTCTTTTTATTGGGAGCAATTCATTTTGTTTATTGGGGGCAACTACTTCTTTTTATTGGGGGCAATTACGCGTATACTTGGACCTTTAATTTTAATTAAAAACTTACAAAGGGTTAGTGGGATCTTATTGGGGGCAGCTTCCCCCCCTCATATGTGAGTAGATCCGCCCCTCCCATCAAAGTTTGCAGGAAGTTGGGAAGTTTTTGTGAGGAACTATATGGAGAGTGATGACAATGGAAGAAGTATGTTCCAAACAATGATGGGAAATAATCCAACTGAACCAAATGGTAAGTTATCTCTCTAAACCAAGTATATATTGTGTTTTACTGTTTCTGTTTTTGATCTTTCATGTTTTAACCACCACCCGCAGATTCAGCTGTACAAACATTGGAATTCGATATTTATTCACAGATGTGATCATGTGATCATTTGTGATGATAATATGGTACACTTAGAAAGCTTAATGGATGGGATCCTAATAATTGAGAACTTTTGAGAGGATGCAGTGATGCCACTAAGTTATAATTAAGAGGCACGCTTAAAAATCTTTGTGGAAAGAAAATGGAAGGAAAGATTATATTTGCTGATTAATGTGTTTCATCGAAAAAATATCTTTCCTTATCATTTATCATTGTTATCTTTGCCCTTAACATTGTTTCAAATCCATGAATATCCTTTAAATTTGCCCACATGGATTTATTTTCCTGTCAATTGTACTCATGTGTTGGCATGCTTAAAGTGATTTAATTTTGTTATGCAACGAGCACATGTACCAGCATGCTGCTCTTTTCTTGAGGTGGGTTTTCGCATATATGATTCTGTTTGCACATATGAAGCTTTTCCATGAACAGCTAGACCAAGTAATAAGTGCATGTGTAAATCCCGAGTGATATAAATAAAAAGATTATAATCTTTTTTATTTTTTATTCTAAACAGGATGAACTAATTCTCATGAACAAAATCAAATAGATCCAAACAACAACTACTATACTGGATAAATGGCCCAACTTCAGCCCCATTCAGCCTTGTGTGGAGATAGTGATGGTGATAATTGATGAAAGTTGTTGAAGAAGCGGAAAGTTCGAGTCCAATAGTCCCAACCCCAATAAAGAATATTTAATAAAGAAAAAATGAATATAGAAATAGAGAAAAAAGTCCTTATGAAAACACACAAAAAAAAAGAGAAAAAAAAAAGAATAAAGGAAAAGGAAAAAATAAAAAAATAAATACCAAAAAGAGTGAAAGTAGTGAGAGGATGAAAACAAAAAAAAAGAAAAAAAGGAAAAGTATAAAAGAAAAACAAAACAAAAAAAGCAGTCCTGGAAAGTCTGCAGCCTTGCAAGTAAAATGTTTGGTAAGTTATATCCCTCAAGCTAGAATTTATAGTTATATATTGTTTCTTTTTGTTTGATCTTTTATTTCATTACCACCAACAGCAGAGACAACATTACAAACATAAGCGTGAATGCAATTCGGTAATTACTCAAACATGTGGTGACAAGATGGTACGGGTAGAGAGCTTGACATATGATATCTTAATAACTGAGGACGTTTGAGAGGATGAGGTGATGTCACTAGCTTATGAGTACAAGGTATGGAAGTAGGGATGTTTTTGGCAGGAACTATGTTGAGAGTGATGGCACTAGAAGAAGTATGTTCCAAGCAATGTTCAGAAATTATGCAATTGAACCAGTGGTGGCAGTGGTAAGTTATCTCCCTCAAGAAAGTATTTATTGTGTTTTGTTGTTTCAGTTTTTGATCTTTCATGTTTCCCCCACTACTTACAGATTCAGTAGTACAAACATGGAAACTCAATATATATTCATTCATGGGATCCTGTGATGATAATATGGTACACATAGAAAGCTTAATGGATGGGCTCTTAACGGTGGAAGACTTTTGAGAGGATGAGGTCATGCCTCTAAGTTATAAGTACGAGGTCAGCTTAAAAATCTTTGTGGAAAGAAAATGGAAAGACCGAAAGAATCTGTTGAAGTTTATTCCTTCAATCCGCAGACCCAACACGTAACCTGGGGGTTTCGAGTGGAAGATGGACAAGTAGATGGAGTACGAGCAGGGGAAATGGCCCAATAAAGAGTATTATTTCACTGAACAATTACAAGCCAAAGGGCCGAACGTACAATGCTATACTACGAACTGCTACTACTGCTATAAGGCTAGAGTGCTAAAATGCGAACCCCTTAAAAGTGAAATAAATGCTACTATTTATACTGCCAAGGGGTGGTTGGATGTGTTGACGTGGCTGGTTGTGGGCGACATGATCCCAACCACCAAAACTTTCACATTAAATGCGCTTCCCGCCAGGATCTTGGTTTCCCGTCATGGGATGGGGACGTTCATCCCCAAAGGCCAGGCTTATGTCTCCTGTTAGCGTCCCGATCCTCTGCTAAAGGAGGGAGGGGGGGGGGGGGGGGGACGTTCGTCCCCCTGCACTTAGCTTCGTTGATCTACTCTTGAGTTGTCCTTAGTATCCTGTCACGAGGTGGGGACGTCCATCCCTATGTACCCTGTGGGAATCTTGGGCCTGGATGCCTTGGTATCTTGGGCCTGGATGCAATGGTACCTGCTAGTAGTAGGGTACGCGCGTCTCCTGGCTTTTTGGCCTTGATACCTGTTAGTGATAGGGTACGCACGTCTCCCAGCTCTTGGGCCTTGATACCTACTAGTAGTAGGGTACGTACGTCTCCTGGCTCTTGGGCCTGAAGCTTGGCCTTCTTCTTGGGCTTTTAGTAGGACGTTCGTAGGAGATCCTTGGGGGCCTTCTGGGGACGTTCGTAGGAGGTCCCTAAGGGTTGATGGGCCGGCTCATATCGGGCCATTAACCCAACACAAGTCCCCCACTTCTGATGTTCCGTGCATGCTCAGGTCATAAGGAAGTAGAAGTTCCCCGCCGTACCGCCTTAACCGACGTCCCTGATGTGACAGGATATTTTCCGGCTGCTGTTCACGGGGCTCTAGGTGGTGGTTATGCAGGCCGTTTCAATTTCCGATGTAAAAGTAATCATTTCACGTTTGTCCGTCTTTGCGCTACACGTGTCCCTGGGTACACTCCCTGTCACGTGTCGCCTCTGGGTTCGTCAATGGAGGGGCGTATCCTCCTATAAATATCAGTCCTTCTGTAGGGGTTAGGGTTTCCAATTCACTACCTTACTCGCCATTTGCTCTCAGAGTTCTTCTCCAAGCATTCTCCGGTTTCCCATTCCGCTCTTCGAAGTTTGTCAGGTAATTGAACCCACTCTCTTCCTTTCTCCTGCTTCATCTTTCAATATGGTTTGTTCTATGGAGATATCTTCCGAATCTGGTTCTGTGTCGGGCTCTTCTACCGGTTCGTCCGCCGCTTCGGGCTCCAGTTCCCGTTCTTCGGGGGAGGCGAGCATTTCCGGCCATTCTGGTGCCTCCGCCGTGGTGGAGCAGGTTGTGATGGACATGGCTGCCCCTAGAGGTGTGGGGGCAGAAGTTGATATGGATATCGCCCCCGGAGGTGACCCGATGGCGGCAGCACAACCAGACGCGGAGGCGGAGCAACCCATGGAGCGTCCCGCTGATTATGATTCCGGTGATGAGGCCGAGGACGTGGATGATTTGCAGGTGTACGATCTAGGAGTTCCTGTAGACGTTTCCCGCCATATTGTGCTGATTCATAACGTTTCCGGGATCCAACATACTTTCTCGCACAGAGATTTGAAAGAGCTGCAGACCCTCCTCCCCCGCCATTCGTCTACAATTTACGTGGTGCAGATAATCTGTTCATGAGATGTCCGGGGATGATCATGGTACATATGGACTCTATCAAGGCCGGTCTGGCTTCCCTCTTCACCCGCTTTATCTTGATTTCTTCCATTGCTTCAATGTTGTCCCGGCCCAATTCATGCCGAATTCGTATCGGCTCATCTCTGCTTTCATCATCCGTTGTCGGTCGAAGAGATTTGCCCCGAGCTTGGACCTCTTCCACTAATTTTTTCAGGTCGTTCCCCAAAATTCTGATGGGTTCCTGAGCGTGGCCGCACGTCCCCACTTGAAGCTATTTGAGGGGCCCCTGACTTCTATTCATGATTGGAAGAACCGCTTCTTCTTTCTTCGTTATGCAGATGAGCAGCTTCCCACACGGTGGAATGGGTATCCTCTGAAGATAAAACAACCAGAGCTGTCCACGGAGTTGAATGATGCCATCGAGAAGTTGAAGCGGGACAGAGTGAAGAAGTTGAAAGAATTCCTAACCATCTAGGCACTTTCTGATGCAGGGATAGGTACCGCCTGTCATCCCTAGATTAACATTCGTACGTGTTTATCTTGTGGGCTCGGAAGGTCCAGTCTCTGAGGTGAGTGCCTTTGAGATATGCACCGCCCGGTTCTAATACTTCTTGTTTCTTGTTCCAGGTCCTCCCCCTACTTCAGAGCAGATGTAGAGCCAAGCTATGTTGGATCGTCGTGAGGCCAAGGCCGCCAAACTACGAGCTACGCAGGTGAAGGCCCAAGGGGCCAATCAGTCCTCTGAGGCCAACTCCTCCGCCGCATCTCAGGCCGATAGGCGCATCGAAGCTGTCGAGCAGCATCTCATCGCTGCTGTGATCGGTCAGAGTTCTGAGGCCCAACATGTTGAAACCGGCCCAGTTCTGGATGTGGCGCTGATCGGTGTCGCCGTACCCGTAGGTGGGGTGAAAGATAAGGGGAAGAAGCCGAAGAGGCAACGTGTTGAGCCTTCCGGCTCCAAGGCCCCTAGCGCCGTGCTGCCTACTCCAAGTCGCCCGGTTCCTGGAGGGATATGGCCCTTTAGGCTGGGGCGGAATTACCAGCCCGCTCCTCAGGCGAGGCTGTTAATCATGCCCTGCTGCTGACCTTTGAGGTATGACGCTACCCCTTTCTACTTTCTTCCTTCTTCTTCTCTCTTTTCTTTCCTTTTTTTTCTTTTTTTTGCATGGTTTGCCGTTCGTCTCTTCTAACTCTATGTCCTTCCATTTTCAGGCTGGGTTGAACCTGTTGCAGGCGGAGGCCGCTCGGGAGCAAGATGCTGTCGAGGCCAAAAGGAGCGCTGATGAAGCTCTGAGGGCAGTGTGGGAGGCCGTGCGGGAGGCCATGTGGGCAAGAGAGGCGGCTGCCTTGGTTGAGAGGGAGAAACTCCAGGCCGCTCTGGACCAGGCCCAGAAGGATCTTCAGGCCACCCGGGATCAGGTCCTAAGGGAGAAGCAAGATCTTCTCGCTAAGGTGGCCCTAGCTGAAAAACACGGGATCTCCTTCGCCCCTGCCGTTGTTCCTGTTCTGACTCCTGAGGGTGGGGCTGCTCCTTGTGATCATGTTACCCTGGTCCTTGATATCGATGAGTTCAAGAAGACGCTCCACTTCCTGAAGGCCGCACATGACTACTGTCGGGGGGCATGGGGGAGGTCTTTGAAGCCGAGCTGCAAGCCGTACCATCCAAAAGACGTCTGGAGCATGGGGTGGAGCTTCTGAAGCGGACTCTGCTTGGTGCTGAATGGCTGCTTGACCTCGCAGAAGATAGCTTTGCGAAGGGGTATTTTCTAGGCGTGAAGGGCCTTAAGCAGATCCTCCCCCAGGTTGGTTGTCCCCCTTCAACGTGGATGACTACACGAAGGAGGATGAGCTCCGGCAAGTTGTGGCCAAGGTTGACCAAGATCTGAAACCGGCCGAAGCCATGCAGAGGGGAGAGATTTCCGATCCCCCAACCCTCGAGATCGTCCTTGACGAGGGAGATGAAGAGCCACAATCCGCCGCCGAGCGTCCCTCTGCTCACGGCTTCCTTGAGTGATCCCTTCCCTGTTTTTGCCTTTTGCTTACTTGTATGTTCCGGCCAGTAGAGCCGAAGAATAAAAAATTCCTTTTTGCTCAATGTTGTCCAATGATTATGGTTTAATCTTTCCTTGTCTGTTCGTATCTTTATTTCCTCGTGTCTGAAACTTCTTTGGAATGGCGAAGTTCGTCCGTTTTTCATTTGTTTGTAAGGATAAGGTCCCTAACACGTGCCCTTAGGTGGAACGGATATCGAAGCGCCATTCCCGCCTCACGATGTACCAAACATGGCCTGCCACGTGTCCTCCCCTGGTTTGGGGAAAACCAGCGGTGGAGCCTATAAGTATCCCATCTTCTTGATGGGGTCATTGTGCTTCCTTCCTTAGCTATTAATTTGTCAGATTGCTTTCTCTCTCTAGACCCCTTATTCTCCCTTGTAAGTTCTTGCTTTATCTTCCACACGTTGCCATGGCCTCTTCTTCCCGTAGGCGTTCTGAGAGGTCGTCTGATGACGGGTGTAATTTTGGCGATGACCTGACGGTCTACAAACGTGGGATGCCACCTCGGCCTCCCCGTTATGCTCTCAATTTCAATAATGTTCAGCGTCAACGCCAACGTCTGCTTTCTTCTGAGAGAGGATTGATCCCCCAACTGTTACCCCGCCATGAGGCTGGGATGCTCGGGCCATCCGCCATCCCATGCGGCATTTTCCTGGTCATGTAGTTGTCCACCTGGACTCCGTTCGTTCCGGGCTCCTTTTTCCCTTGCTCCCTTTCCATCTTTCTTTGTTTAGGGGCCTTGGCATAGCCCCTACGCAACTCGTCCCGAATTCCCATTGGATCATTGCTGGCTTCATCATTCGCTGCCATAATGCGGGGGTCACCCCTTCTGTGACTTTGTTTCTACATTTCTTCCGACTTTCTCCCAGTGGGCAGATGGGTTATCTCAATATTGTGGCCCGTCCGTGGAGAGTCCTCTTCTCCAACAACCCCTCGAGCCCGAACGGCTGGGAGGAGAGGTTCTTTTTCGCCGAAGTTGGATCACCCCTTCCTTTCTCTGACCGGTGGAATGCCTTCCCGGTCAAGTTTGAACCTCCAACTATGGGCTCGGTTGAGCTGGAGCAGGCCGCACGTATTGCTGGTGAAGGGGTCCAAAACCTGCGTTTGCTGGTGAATGACACCAACCTGAACAAGGTTGGCATAGGTACGTCTTCGTTACAGCCCGAGTTTTGGAACTTCGTGTTGTGACTTTCAGGCATTATTCTAACTTTGAATTTTCCTTGTGCAGGGCTTTTTCCAAGTCCCCGGTCATGGTTCCTCGTGGCGGCACCTCTCCTACCTCAGATCGGGCCGATGCGGGTACGGGGAAACAGATTGTGGGCGAGGAACCGTGTCTGAAGAGGCCCAAGGCCGAGAGCCGTACTGGAGACGACCGACCGTTCAAGAAGCCTCGTCGTGAAGAAGGGTCTTCCACGGTCGTGGTGGTCTTAGATGGGTCGGATGATGAAGCTTCCCCCCGTCAAAAATCAATCTTCCACCTCGGTGGTTAAGGAGACACATGCTCCCCCTACGCCCGGTCCTAAAAATTCCTTCTCTAACATTATCGAGTTCTCCGGGCTTGGTCCCCGTGCGGAGTCGAAGAAACTGTTTGGTCAGACGACCTCCTCCATTTGGTGCTCCTTGGGGTTGAGAGTTCCCCGGGATTTTGCTGCTTACGAGAATCCGATGGATCTTCATGAATGCGGCCTCAGTACTCTTAACAAGGCTGCCATTTACTTCAGCAAGGCGCGGTTTGCTTATGAGGCGCAGGATCGTGCCTCTGCCAAGTTGCGTTGTGATACCGAGGTCCTTTTGAAGAAAGCTAAGGAGCGTCTGGTCAAGATGCAACAAGAGTTGGATACCGCCCTCTCGCTTGCCAAGGAAAGTGCCTCTTTCCAGGAGATGGTCATGAAGCAAACCGAGGAACTATAGCTGCTCCATGCCAAGATGGCCGCCGTGGAGAAGACCGACGTGCAACTTCGTCAGGTTGGCGTGGAAGGGGTTGTTCCTGTTTTTGAGGCTGATGTTTCCAAGATCAAGAATGCTGGATCCATCGAGTTTCAAAAATCCAAGGCCTATGTTGATGCTGTGGACGTCCGTGCGAAGAGGCGCCTCGCCCAAAACCTTGGGGAGTACCTGGCCAAGAGCCCCGACATGCTGCTGGACGGCATCGAGCTGATATCGAAGACCCCCACAGGCCGAGTTTTCCTTGAGGAGCTTGTTGATGATTCTTTCGCCAAGGGGATGGTCGGCCTTGTGATAGGCAATCTCCCGGCTCTTGAGCGTTATCTCCCCGTCCCCTTTGACCCTAAAGTTGTCGGGTTCAACGCTTCGTTCGCCGAGGCTTATGACGGGGCTTTGAAGCTTCTCCAGAAAAACCGCAGGGGAAGGGGAGGGGAAGGGCGTCCCTTCTTCGTAGCTGAGGGAGTTTGTCAGGTTCTGCAGCCCTGTTGACCTTCTGAACTCGATTGATTGCTCCCTAATCATCCCGCCATAAACAATCCCTCTGGCCAGACCCTAGTAAGACTTGTAGAGGTCAGGGTGTATTTCTTGACTTAGGCAATAAAACATGACAGCTTTCACTATGTTGTATTTCTGATTTCACTCCGAACTCGTGTATGATACGTATTTCCCGGTCGGTACAATCGATGAATAAAATGTAGCACCTTATTGCTATGAAATTTTTTTCCCTTGAGCTTTCATTCTTTCCTTTTTCTTTTCCCCTTCTTTCTTCTTTTTTTTCCCGCCCTTGAGCCCAGTCCTTGGGTCCTGGGTCTGAGCTGAGTCACCTAACTTGGAGAGGAACGTCTCTTTCCCCTTTGGGGACTCCTATGTTGTTATTCTGCCATCCGTTCGTCATACCCTCCTTTTAGCCCAACCCGTGGGATCCTGAGCTTGGGTACAGCCTCGCCGATTTTTTGGTGAGGAATTGCTTTTTCCCCTTTGGAGATTTCTCTTCTTTCTTATTTCGATCCTTCTTGGGATTTTCTTGTTTGATCCTTCCTGGGATTTTTTTTTCTTTTTGCTCGATTCACTTGGGGTTCTTCTGTTTGATCCTCTTGGGATTCTTTGATTTGATCCATCTTGGGATTCTTATATTTGATCCATCTTGGGATTCTTTTATTTTGTTTGATCCTTCTTGGGATTCTTTTGTTTGATCCTTCTTGGGATTCTTTTATTTCTTCGTTTCATCATCCTCTCGTCGTACCCGCTCGTTTAGCCCAGTCCTTGGATTCTGAGCCTAGCGTAACCAACGTAGTCGGTAAGGAACGACCTTCTCCTCTTGGGGGTTTTCTCTTCTTCCTTTGTTTGATCCTTCTTGGGATTCCTTTCTTTGATCTGTCTTGGGATTCTTTTATTTGATCCATCTTGGGATTCTTTTATTTGACCCGACTTGGGATTCCTTTATTTTGTTCGTCATCCGCTCGTCGTACCCACCCGTTTAGCCTGGTCCTTTGGATCTTGAGCCGAGTGTAGCCAACGTGGTCAGTGACGAACGGGTTTGTCGCCTTTGGGGATTCCCTAACCCATGTATATTTTTTTTGGGCTTATCTTTGTTTCGCCGTCCGCTCGTCTTACCTGCCCTTTAGCCCGGCCCTTTGTACCCTGAGCTGAGCTCGGTCGCGATTGTGACGGGAAACGGGTTTATCCCCTTTGGGGATTCCCCTCTTCTGCCGCACCTCGGAGGTCTAACACTCCTTCCGAGGGGCTCGTAGCGTACTTATGATACAAAAATATACACAATGATTTTATCGTGGAAACCCGGAAAGGGAAAACCACGGGACTTTTTAGGCTAACGTCCAAGCCCGTTCATTGTCATTAATCCTCTCCTCACCTTTACACTGTACAAGCTTGTTCTTCCCTTCTTGTTCCTTTTCTTTCCCCCTTTGTTTTTTTTTGTTTTTTTTTTTTGGGGGGGAGGACTTACTTATAGAATCTCTTCAGGTGCTCGACGTTCCATATGCCAGCGGGGCGTCCTTCCATGGTTTGTAGGAGGAACGTCCCCGCAGCCGCCCGCTTCTTGTAGACTCTGTACGGCCCTTCCTGGTTTTTGGTCATCTTGCCACCTTCGAGCGGCTTGCTCTTTTCTCGTTTCCATAGCACCAAATCCCCAACCTTGATCTCCCTGACTTTGACTGCTTTGTTGAAATACCTCTCGGTTGCCCGATGATATTCCTCCATGCGCCGTGCGGCTAGGTCCTTTCTTTCCTCGATGAAGTGTAGCTCGACCCTTAGATTTTCCTCATTT